TCTTCAACATTCAAAAAGTTCAGGACATCAGATGGTTTTTTCCTTCTTTGTTTTTCAGATGTCAACTCCATATTTGTCAAGGCGTCGTCGTTTATCTTCGCCAGTCCGAGAACCGTTAGGTGCGCTTAAGTCTTTTGTCTCTTGGTCAAATATATTACGTAGAAAATGTGGTTTTATTGAAATTCATTAGAAAAGAATATTTCCTTTCTTGTAAACACAAAGGCATTATTTATCCAGCTGAGAAGTTGAATAGGGTGGATTTCAAAGGGAAGTTAGACGTGATTTTGCTTATGGCAAAATGTATTTGAAATACAGAAACTAAATAACTTGTGTGCATAAATCCCCCTTTGGTAATACGATTCTGCTGTGTTTAGCTCTCTGAACGCAGTATTTTTTAGTTGTCCTTATTTTACATTCATGGAATGTAATACAGCAGCTCTTTGGTCTGTTGGTCGCTGGTAGTTAAGGTGGTACTTTTCTATAAACTTTCTTGAGATGTTTCCCAGACTTGGTGCAAACCTATGAGTTTTGGTCTTAATATTTTAGACTTAACAACTCCAAGAAGCATTATTTTCCTCTTCTTTCTGGAAAGCAAAACCTGCGCTTTTACTAGCCAAGTACAAAGCTTTCAAGCAACACGGAAAAAAAAGTAACAAAATGTTTTGGGTTAGGCTCTTTCTTCTGAGCAGGAGTCCAAAGGGCCAAGAAGTCTTCCTCTGCAATGAATATCTTTATATTATGCTACTTTGAAGGTTTTTGTCCAAGACCTTTAAATTCTTTCCTTTGTAATATTTGAACTCCATACGGTTAGGAATTTTATTAATTTCTTCCCTAATTAATTGCATGTTACTCATCCATTTAATTTGGCACTAATGGATGTTTAATTAACGATTAAGCTTAGTTCTTAATGAAATATGCTATTATAGTGAGGCTATCTGGATCATCTGCAGTTGTTTTTAATTCATATAGTATATTAGTGGAAGTGCCTTAATAGATTTGGGTTTTTTTTCTGTCTTCTGTTGTTTTTTACTTCTGGTTTGTTTTGGGGGTTTTTTTTCTGATTAGGCAATCAAGCTGCTGTTTGCAGAAAGAAGCTAGAGTTGTCAAATGAATGTTCTTCATCCAAATATCTACACTTACAACTTTCTGATGCTCCCAGTTCATCAAATAAAATAGCCTCATCTATGCATCAGCCTTGTCCAGAACTGAGCTCAACTTTGTCTGATAGTATCCATGGAGAATACCAGTCTGCAGATGAGGAATGCTCCTGGAGCAATACAAGTCTTGCAGACTTGTATCCAGGAATGTTAGAGATATTTACAGAGCTCATGACAAAGCATTCTCAGAGGAAAGTGTTAAAGTACATGTTTGGACAGTTAAGGTCCAAGAGATGTCATTCTAGAAGACCAAAGCTCAATGTCACCCTAGACAAAATGAGAGGGTTCGGACCCTCTGAACTAAAGAAAGGATTTCACAGCACATGTAGCTGTAGAAGTGAAGACAACCAGAGTACAACTTTCGGAAATGAGGGCAGAGAGTTCTCTTGTGATAGCTGCCTCATTAGTAGTTCATCTGGTCTGCTGCCCTATGCTTCTACTGATACAAATGAAATCACAATGGGCTACTCTAACGCAAGTTTACAACATTTGACATCTGGAAAGGGCCAAGAAGTCTACAAGCACACTGCTTTTCCTGATGTTACGGTTAGAATGGGAGAGACATCTTTAGTTCAAGATGATTTACAGACTCCTGCCTCACCAAAGAATTCAGAATACGTAGAAAGTGAAAAATTGGCTTACAGACGTTTCTCAGAACCCAGTTTTATAACATCTACTGCCAGTTCAGATTCAAGAGTGCTTCATCTTGTAAAAGAGAGTGAAACTCAGAAAACTGACTTTTGTGTTGGTACCTTAGAGTCACTTTCATCTGCTTGTAGTTCCTCTGGCAATAGGAACAATTCAATCCCTATCCTAAGTTGTTCTCCTGCAAGATCATCAAATACTGCATTCATATATCCTGAAAAAATAATTTCTAAAAGACAAACTTCTTTCCAGCACAAAGGCTTAGTTTCTTCCTCGTTTATGAAGCAGAATCCTTCAAAGATGCCCAATAAATATGAAGATGCGTTTGAGGAACTCTACTACAAAGTGTGTTCTGAAGAATTCCAAAAGTCTTTGACATTGACAAGACCTCTTATAAACTCACAGAACCTTGAAGAAAAAGGAAGATTAGTGAAGAGCGATTTAAGTCGTTTTAGGCAGTCCATGAAACAGATTGTTACAGAATTTGACAAGATCTATGGGGAACTGTGTAGGAATTCTGTTCCAAAATTTCCTGGGTTTCAGACAGCTTCAAATTTCAGAAAATATGAAGAAATACAGATGCCTGAAACTGTAAATGCTCTTGTTAATTCTCCTGTCCAAACTTATTCTGCAATTTCCAAAGTTAAAAGAACAAAAAATTTTCAAAACTATCTTCTTTGTTCACCAGTAAAGCGACTGAAACTTACACCGGAACATAGTTCTTCTTCAAAGAAGTGTCAGGAGGTTTCCCCCAGTGAAAAGGGTCATCTTCAGAGAACTGATACGGATTTTTTGAGCACATACAACTGCAGCAACCCCCACTTTTTTGGACATCACAGCTGTCATTGTCAGGTATTTAAAGGACCTTGGGGAAAAAAAAAATTGTGCATCTTTAGATATTTGGAAAAGAGCTTAAGAATGGATTAGAGCTGCAAGCTGTTGGAAGTAGTGATAGCATACTTGCAGTGCTTTTTGGTCAGTAGGGACGTTTTACAGCTCTGGGAGCTTCTGGATAGCAGGTGTCCCCTGGCTCATGTGAGGAAGCAGTCAATACTTATTAAATTTGAAATGGTTTTAAATGAAAGATTTGATTCCATTTTAATAGACAATGGCACTGGATAAAATGGTCTCAAATAGTGACTCAGTTATGGTCTTGTCCTGAAATGATGGCATTAATTTTTTAGATGGACAAGGTGAAGCAAACAAATTGATCTTGGTAGGGTTTCACAGGAATCATTAAACTTGTTTATTTAAATCAAATGCTTATTTCCAAGTTCAGAGCCATTTCTTCTGAGACAAGCTGTGAAATAGTATATTTTTTTATGGATGTTATATATTGCTGCTTTATTTTCAGGGCTCTGGATATCATGATTCTTCAGATAAAAGTTTTCTTGGTGATCCTGGCACTTCCCTGCAAGGTTAGGTTCAGACACTTTATTAATTTGCACAAGAGTATTTTTCTTAAGGAAATTTGCCCATTCAAGTATTTCCAGTGTTTAAATAGGCTAATACTTAAACAACATTCTGTAATGTTCAGGCTATTCAACATTGTTCTTGCCCTTTTCATCCACTGTTTCTCATCACCAGAATCTGGAACTGCAGGTGTGCACCCTGGTTGGCCTGGGGCAATGGAGAATTGCCGCTCTCTCAGAAATGTGAGGAAGCGTCACCGAAGGTAATAATAATTGCCTTTTTAAAAAAAGAGATTTCAAAATGAATTCTTACTCCTCTACACCTGTATTAAAGGTATGGAGGTGACATACATACTTGTAGAATGAATATGAGTGTGGGGAGAGCCCAAGACTTGAACACTGAGAGGCAAGTGTCTGTGGTCAAAATTAGCCAGACTCCAGCAAGGAGAGCGGCTGAGCACAGGACCGGAAGTTGACCTAACTGAATACCTGCTGTAGTCCTTATCTGATGTTCATTATAGTGGCATTTATTACTTTAGATATGCTATGGAACTGTTTTGATTGTGGCTGTGTGTTTAAGCTGCAAGTCTCCTCAAAGAGGAGTGCAGCATATTGTCATTTAAAAGGATTTGCAAAAGTTGGCCTCCTTGCAAGTTGGGCATCATTACCTGCATTTTGGCTCTGTGTAAACACGCAGTGGCTCTGCTTGGAACACATCAGAGATCCTCTCCTCCTGCTATTATCACTACTAGCAGTGTATTTAGATCTCTGGAAGCAAGACATTCTTTCTAGTTCCCTTAATACTGGCCTAATATGTCTGTTTTTATTAGAAGATATGTAACTTTTAGAGGAATATCAAACTTCAGATCTCGGATTTTTAATTACAAACATTTAATATTATAAGGATTTAAAAATCATTAAAAGCTTTCTAAAAAATTCCTAATTTTATTTATCAAAACATTTCTTACATGCTGGTTTTTGCCGTAACTGTAATTTGTCACCACGAGCTGTTGGTTTCCCAAACTCAGTCAAGAAATATTTTCACTATGCTTGAGATGATCATACAGCTGATATCAACATTTTCTGACAATGGTTGAAGTAGAGGTTCAAAGGAAGGCTGAAAGCATTTTTAAACTACTTGTATGGAGAATTTTAACAAGAAAAGAAAATTACCGATGTAAAGAAACATTTGTTTAAGCAAATGCGGAATTGAAGTTTAAAGACTTGTATTACAAATACATGCAATATTGATAAAAATTATATTTGGATTATTTATTATATAATGGGAGATTGGAGACAAGCTGATGAGTATGCAAGGACATTTCTGAAATGCTGAGTGTGCCCACTTAGCTTAGCAAAATTCTCCTTAATTCTTGGATTTCCTTTTTTTTTTTCTTCACTACATTATCCTGTCTCCCCATACAAAATAACCATTCCTGTAAGATTAGTTATTGTTCTAAAGGAAAAGGTTTTTCTTAATGCATATAAGTAGAGAATTCAAGATTTCAGAGTTTTCTTCTATGTCATCTGGAATAAAAATCTATTTCTTTGTTCTTTAATTACACAAAGATATGTTTGCTGATTTGTAGCCAGAATGGACTGTCAGCTGGCAAGCTTCCTGAGGCCTGTGGTGTGATATTTTTAGCTTTCTATGGTTCCCAGCAGTGTAGCTTTTTAATAGCTTCAGATCTCTCAGAAGTTTAATGCCTAAGCCATGTGGCAAAATGCTGTACGTTGTAATGAATAGTTGTGAAAAGAAAAGGAATATTGTCTTTCTATCTGGAAATAGATTGCCTTGATCTAGAAGTTGATTAGAAAAGAGATTTCTGAAAAGGAAGTGTTCATAACTAATGAACTTTTCTTCAGCTCTATGTAACTGCTGTCCTACAGCTTTACTGCTATACTTAATGTCAGATGTACACCAAATTAGCTCAAAATATGCGAGAAACTTTATGCAATTTTTAAAGTAATATGCAAGGTGTTCTCACTTGTGTCTTTAACTTTTGGCTAGTTGTGAATACATTCCAAGATTGCATCTCCAAGTTTAATAGATATAACTATTTATATCATAACTTAGATTGATATAGTAGCACTACTGAGGCATTAAAATGGTATAGCATGAAAAGCTTCCTCTGAAAGCACATGGGAAAGCAGACAAGGAGCTGTGCTGCTGTTCACAATCAAGATGTTTGTTTCATTCTGTTCATTGGAGTTTCAGCAAATATATTATTTTTGTGTAATTTACTTGATCACCTAAACAGAAATTTTGGTTTTTTTTCCTTAGGGTGTACAGAAAATTAAGCTACACTGATGGGAAAGACCAATCGTAGGAATCTCACCAAGAAGCATTCATGGACTGATAAAATATGACAGTTTCATACAGGTTGGGTTTTATTCAGTGTTGTTTGTTCTTCCAAGAGTTAAGGGTTTATAATTGTATGTAGGCAATACACAATTAGTTCTGGTTTTTACTTCCTTGTAATACAAATCTTTGGGAAAGGATTCATCCCTTTTGACAGTTTGTCAAATACTTGATTTATAGCCAAGTTGGAATTTAATACTTGGCAGTATTTGTGATCTGTATTTTTTATTTCCTAATGAGCTTTAATTCTTACTGTATTAATAAGGAACAAGTTCATTTACCTAAATTGCTGCCTATTCATATTTTTGAGTGTATCAGTACAGAACCAAATTCAGTGCTATATGCCGTGTTTAATGTTAACATTTTTTAAGTAGATCACCAAAGTTGTTATAAAAAGCTTTGATTCTTACTGTGTTAATAAGAAACAAGTTCGCTTACCTAAATTGCTGTTTGTTCGTGCTTTTTGACTCCATCAGCACAAACCCAAAATGACTGCTATGTGCTATGATTTGAGTCTGTTATGCAATGTTAATGTTAAGAGTTTAAGTAAATCCCTAAAGTTGATTGTTCAGTAAAATGTTCTACTCTTTAGTAGATTTGAGAATTGTATTGTGTTTTGACAAAATTTTACCTGACACAATATACATTCTAAATAAAGAACTGTTCTGAACAAATACCTGCCTTCAACATTTTTTTTAATACCTATGTAAATTCTCAGGGGGAGTTTGTATACCTGCATGAGCAAGTCCATAAGAATGAGGTATCAGGGGTCCCACAGGTTTCACTGCTGTGGCCTTTCCTGGCAAGGGGATTGTGTTAGTGGTAATTGCCAGATCATGTACTTGCTGTTTTGTCAGCACTGCCCCTTGTTACCTTTCTGAGCTTCAGAAGAGGAAGAAATTGGAGGTTTTTTTTCTTTATTTCCAGACACACAGGAGGGTTTTATTTTAGCTCTTAAAATCAAAATCTTTTTATCTTAAGTATTGTTCTTGAATAGGACAAGATGCCAATTCTAGTGAGGTTTTCTCTGCAATGAGAACTTCTGCACACACATTTTCTCCTTCATAATTTGGATGTTACCTTTCTTTCTATGACAGCAACAAAATACTGTCTTTTAGAAATGCTCTTGGGGCTCTTTTTTCTTCCTTTTCCAAACATGGATGCACTGTAGGGAATATGTTTTGTGAACTATCTTCCTCTTGGATTTGTTAAGGTAATTATTTCCCAGTATTTCTTGATACACCAGTACTGAGACATTGCATAATTCATTGTTTTCTGCTCTGAAGTAACTTAGAAGTCAACTGGAATTGGGTTTTGGACCTGTTCTGAATCTAGATATGACTTCTATACAGCAACTTTAATGCGGCTCACACAGGTAAGGAAGGTAAGTTTGTTTATTCAACATAGCAAAATTGTCTCCATGAAGATTACTTTGAAATAATTTAAAGAGGTCATTCTTGGAAAATCTTTAAGTGTTGGAAGATAAGATCATGCCAATGCCATGTTTTGGTGCTAGCAGTAGCAAAAAAGGGAGAAAGAGTAAGAGTTGGTATTTTTAGAGTTGATCCTGTATACCATGTGAGTCAGCAGACTTAAAAGCATGATGCAAGCAAAAGTCTGTATTGTTTTTCCTAACGATACTGTTTGGCCAGGTACATCTGCAGTGATTATCAAAGACTATAATTACTGCTGGATTACATTTGTCTCAAAAAGATGTCAGTGGTGCTACCTGCTCTCTCATGTTTTGAATTCCATTCTTCTACCCTTCCAAACAGTTTTGCTTTTTCCACCATATTTCTTCTTGTTTACTCATTCTTTACTGTTCCATTGAACTTGAATGTTAAGCTTACTGTTAATAAGCTTGCTTCTCTTTGCTATAATTTTTTTTTAAGGAACAGTGGAAAAACAGATGAGGTTACTGAGACAATATGAACCTAGAACTTAGCACCTCGTATGTGGTAGTTAGTTAAAATTTGTTTTATACATAAACTATCGTATACTGGTTAAATTCTTTATGTAGATATTTCTTTAATATCTCGATCTTCAACAATATTGAATATGCTTTTAGATATAAGGATGCAATAGTCACTTGAAAACTATCTCAGAACTCATTAAAAAACTTAGGTCATTCGATTGCTTATTTAAGCAGATGGGGAGGGTAAAGAGCCAAAAGAATAAAGCTAAATTTGAATGTGTCAGTATTACAAATGCCTTGGGAATAGTTGATAGGATGTTAAAGATCATCCTGTCTGAGAGCCGCAATCAGTAATTTATTGGAGGCAGTGATTAAATGTGAAAAGGGAGTGTGTGTGTGTATATATATATATATATATATATGGCTAATGTTTACCAAAATGCTCTGCTCTTTGAACAAACTATGTTGCAAAGGAAATCAGCTGATGAAAATTGGCATAGACACATAGCTGGACTAAACAATGAAGACTGAGAATAGAAAGGAAACTAAATATACTTAAATCCCATGAAGTGGACTAACTATTACATGTACACTCAATGAGAGAAGTGGATACTTCATTTGCATTAAATTAGTTATCAGACTGAAATGACAGGTTGAATTTAATAATTGATTTTTTTTATTTTTTTTTCCCATTATTTGTCTCATCCCTTGATGTGTCTATCCATTTCTGCTGTTAAAAGGTGTTGGTTCTCTGTACTATGGGACTTTTGTTTCCAGGACTATCTCTTTCAGAACCTCACACAGTTTTAGGGCTTTGTGTGCTTCATAGTTTCAAGCTCCTAGGCACTGCTCTGTGTGGATTTTAAAGGCTCCAATATCCTAGTTTTTTGCGAAGGTGGGAGTGTCTGACACCTAGAGGCAGACACATTACATCAACTTGCTTTATTGTTTCCTGCTGCAACTGCTTAATGACTCCCAGAATATAAAAATAGATAACCACTCTATAAAAAGTTACCATTTACAGAGTTTATTCTTCAAATGAATGTGCACACAGTGAGTGAAGGGTTTGGGGAAATAAGAAGCTCTTTGTTTTTGTAAAATAGTAAGGATGGCAATGGAAAACCCCATAGGAATGTAAACATAACATAGAGTATTAGAAGGAAGAAATCCTCCCTGGATTTATTGTTATAGATGGTTCAATAATATCTTTGTGGAACCTTGAATACAGCTGTATACAATATAACACTAGTAGAGGAGTTGAGATTTGAGATGTATTCTAATATTGCTAGAGGAAATTAAAGGTATATAAAGGTACTGCTAAGTCTCATGAAATGTACAATTACTACTTTAAATCAGCTGTTAAATTATTCTCCAGTCATTGCCATAGACCAGTCGCAGTCACAAAGCTCACAGTGTGGAGCAGCAGATCAGTTCTTAATTGGTAAAACAGCTAATCACCAAGTGTGCAAGAATGAAACAATCTCATTTCAAAAGTATTGCAGTTAATATAGAATTGTACTCTGCTTGAGCTGTATAGACAGCAAGGGGGTCTTTTAGAAGTGCTTGAAAGTTGATGATTGTTGAAAACAGGATCAATTTTTACTGGAACCACAACCATGTGAATGCTGAGCTATCAGCTTCTGCAGCTTTTTCAAATTTTCTTCTGAAAGGCAGATGCATCTGAGTGGCAGTCTGGACCTGTGTCTTGCTTAGTCTATAAATATGCTTGGCAGGCAGTTTGGAACACTTAACTTACCCATTTCATACCACTGTTTAGTATGTCAGCTTTCTGGAATATTATCCCTAATCCTTCATTGTTCCTCTAGAATGAAAAAGCAAATCTCACTTTATTGTTACATCTTTGGCTCATTGCATATTCAGTTCTCCCCCTTTGTGCTGTGAATCAAGCCCATTAATCTGATGGGATCATCATGAATGGCTTCTACTTTTGCTGTGTTTTCAGCAGCCAGCTGCTCGCTGTTGAGGTAAATGCTAACTTTGGAAGCCACCCTGGGGTTAGGTGATCTTTCTTCATCTTCTTCTAATGAAGGATCTTTCTTTCTCCTTGGTTTTCTGCATTTTCCCTTGGCACTGTGATTAAGTGAGGCATAACACATCTGATTGGCAGACTCCACCTAAAAGAAAATTCACTTTAACATCCAGTAGTTATCTGTGCTTTAAATTTATATCTAAGACTTCAAGTATATCTAGACTCTAATCATAATTCTACCTGAAATTTGCCTAAAGTAGCTGAAAAGCAACTCATTAAAAGTACAAATGATTAAACTCTGGGAACATGGAAAACAGATCAATATAAGCTAATGGTAAATGACTCATAGTGGCAATATGGAAAAATTTATTAAGGTATCATTGGAAAGATTCTCTGTGGGAAGGAGGGAAGCTTATAAGTCCAGGTTCTTTGGGATGCAAGACATTATTGATCTAGTTTCCTTCTCATTTTTTTATTTTTTAGTTAGAATCTAGTTATTAATGTTATTAACAGGCTTTGTCTGTGCAGAAAACCAAAGCTGGATGATTCTTGCCTGTATATACGATCTCATTTCCAGTGCTTTTTGTTGCTATGTATGCTTTTTGTGTCTCCTGTATTTTTGTGCTTTTCAAGCCAGACCATCAATGACTATTGATACTGGAATGTCTAGATTTAAGAAGTTGTTCCTTACCTCCTGGCAATACCCTGTGACAATGTCTGAAAATCAGTCCTTATGCAATATGTGGCAGTCAGCTCAGGAAATTAATGCTAGGAATGCTTCAATTAGAGGCAAATCTCATTTGAAGCTTACATGCTTCAAGGCAAGCAGGTATCTCAACAAAGTATAAATCAATAGAGAGCAATCTTTCCCTGGTTAAGGCATATAGATTTTGCACTAGACAGGAGAAAGCCAGTCAAGCTCATGAGTACCATGTGATGAAGCTTGTGGTTTCACTTGGTTGATAATTAAACCAAATAAAATTATTTCTTTACATAAGCCATGGTCACGGATGCAAATTTAATGCCACGTGATCAGCATGCCTGTGGCTGAGCTTTATTATGCTGTATTGTATGGAACTGAACTCTCTATAATTATGCTTCCTTATTAATAACTATGGGCCATTAATGGAGAGTCAAGTTTGTACTGAAATACCTTGATGAACTGAGATACCAATGCATTGTAATTTTTGTGAGAGTGTGAAGATTTTTGTTATATACTCTTATAGGATAAATGAACTCTGAGACAGACCATATTATCCTAATTCAGAAATCCATAACTAAAATTAGAAATACCTGTAGCTGATTAACTGGTCTTTGAGGCCGGGACTTCATCTGCTCGTAACAACATTCTTCTGTAATTTATCAAAGTAGAAAAATCTTTTTATTAAGACATGCTACTGAGTCTTAAAAGATCAGGCCAACCGATTCTCTCTGCTAGAGAATGCACTCCCCCCAGTTTGCTTTGGTAGGATGTTTGTTTTGAAATCACACACAGATCTCTCCCTATAATTATAGAGAAGTAAATAGCTAAGAAACTAAGACATACTGTGAAAATGAAAATCATGTTGTGTTCATATGAAGAAGTTTCTCATTATTTGCTATATAGGCATCATTTTAGAGTGGTGGGAGGACTTCTTGCAATTAAGAGGTAGCCACATACTGATGATTTTTTTCAGCACAGCAGTCTTTTCTTTGGCTGAGAAAGAGGTTGTGAGTTGCAGCAGCTGGTGATTAAATTATATTCCTGAGTCTACTTCAGTTTTCTGTGAATTTGATTCTCGTTATTTTCTCATATCTCATTTTAGCCACCAGTAGAAAAGATTACTTCCTTACAGTTTTCAGACTTTTATAATGTCACTGCATTTGAGTGTTGACTTGATTAAATTTATGCAAACTGTGCGTGAAAAAGTTGGGTTTGTTTGGGCTTCTTTTTTCCTGCAGTTCAAGTGCTTTAGTTTTGCTTAGCCCCAATTACGGCTTTCAGAAGAAGTTGTGTTCTTGCACCTTAAATACTGCTTTAACTCTTTAAGGGCTTCAAGAGACAAACCCTCAGCACATTTGGCTCTCACTGCAGTTATATGATGTTGCAGCCTTTAATGTGGTGTCTCTCTGCCAAGGATTAACTAGAGCACAGTAAAGCAAAGCCAAGCTGTCTGTCCACCTTTCAGCTGCTGGGCTTCAGCACATTTGTCAGTGTTGCTGGTGATATGTGGATGCCACAGCAGAGAACTGGTATGTGTTTGTTTCTGCCTGCTTTTGTGAGAGCACTGACCTTGGGCCGTGAGTAATATGTGCTTTAGATTGCTTTGATAGGCATGGATCAAGCTGTTGTTTCAGTCAGTGCAGCTTTACATTTAGACAAGCTCTTTGCTTTGAGATACTTGGCTGAGCAGGACCATATGGACTGTAAAAAATCAAATTTGGTATGAGATCTGTTCATATAAATAGTACTGCAATATGAAGGTTTGCATTTCTATCCCAAGTATCTTTTAATAATTACAATTATAACAATAGTTGAAAAGATGTAGAGTATAAAGTTTGCCATTTGAGAAATGCAAAATATGTCAGTCATTTTTTAATCATGCATTTCTGTAACCACTGAATGGCTATAAAATATAGACATATGTTCCTAAAATGAAGCTTACCTAAAATATCTTGATTGAGATTGCCATAAACTGGATAATCTTCTGTGTCATAGCCATCATAGCTACATGGGGAATGAAAAAATACTTTTAATTCACAGAATATGCTTTATTTAGCACACCCATACTCTATTTTATTAAATGTTTTATGCACATATGCAGATTGTGTGTGTATATCTTCTATCTATAGCAGATTGTTTATGATCTTATAAACAAAACCAAAAATATCAGAAGGCGCAGAAATTGCAGTGTTGGTATTGTCAGGAGAGATTTGTTACCTAGCCCAGAATTGAACTCTCCTTTCCTGTAACCTCATTAAGTACAAAGCTAATCTCAAGACTATTAAGCTACAGTTTGAGGTAGGGTAAGAAATATTAATGATCACTGAACGGAACCCAATTCATGTCCTCTGAGACCACTCTGCAATGTAAACTAAAGCACCATATGTGTATTTCTGGGGGATGTTCTCAAAAGGTCCCCTCTTGATTCAACTAAAATGCTTCTGTTGATGCAGACAGGACCAAAGCCAAGTTCGGCTTTGCATTTTTAATTGTATGTTGTGTTTCATTACGTAGTGTTAATTGAAAATGTTTCTAGGTGGGTCTGTAAAATGGGAATTGCTAGTGCGAAGTGCTGTGTAACCTTTCCTGCACCCATTGCATCTCATCAGGGGTGAAGTCGTGCTCTAACACCACATTCAGGGGTGGTTTTCATCTGAACAGGCAGTAATAGACAAATACAGACTTCACAATTTCAAGAAAATTTGTAATTGAGAATTGGTTTTGGGTATCAGGTACAAGCTTTTGTATTTTTATTTCAAGGGCCTTTTATATTTGGGTTGAGATGAGACTTTAGCCATCTCAGTTTTCTAAAGTTTGGGCTTGGTTTGGGATTTTTTTCTGTACGGCAGAAGAGAGAGACTTGGAACAGAAATGTGTAACAGATCATGAGGTATCCTGCAGCTGTAAACAGACTGTTTTATTGCTTTTGGCCATGTGTAAAAGATGGCTATGAAATGTAAATATATGTAAATTATTGCTCCACAAGTATTAACTATCAGACCATAATTTATCACTGTTTTGTGAGAACCGAGAGTTCTTTTAAATTATTATGGAATTATTAAGTGATAGGTAATGGTGGTTTAGCTCAATATCTTGCACTTTCAGATAAAATTATAGTATTAGCATGCAATTATTTCATTGTTGATAAAATGACTGGAGGTTTTATCTCACATGTGAATTTTTTTCCCTGGGTTTTTTTGAAAACTCTTTTTCCACAACCAACATTGCTAGGCAGACTGCATGAGATGTTGAATCTTCTTCTATGCCATCCCTCCAAAGCTGTCATAATTTATTGCATATTTACCCTTGCCAGAAATAAACTCTTTTTATACAACTTACCTTGGATTGTTCTCTTCATAGTCTTTATGCATTTTAGCTGGAAAATTTGTTTAAAAAAAACAAGAGAAAATGAAACATGTTATTTTAGAACACTCCAGATAATTGTCTCAACAGGCATGCTTTTGGTTTTGTTTTAGAGAATAGAGTTGAAAGCTCTGGTTCTCAGCATCTTCAGTTGTCCCTCTACTTTTCTCAAATACTTTTGTCAAATACAAGAAATGTTTGTGTTATGGCCCTGTGCTGTGGCTGCAAAGTCTACATTAGTTTAAAGTACCCAAAAAATGTAACACATACGATTCGTTCTTTATTTCCTCTACCTTCTGCTTCTCCCTTATCTTTTTCTCTCAGATTTTCTCTGTCCGGGGAGGTGAATCATGTTAATATTACGAAGGATTTATTTATTTTATTAGTTCTGCTGCTATGTCTGAAAAAGATATCCTGTGATCCACACAAATGAAGAAACTGAAGCAGAGAGGCAATGGCTACAAAGAAATTTCATGCTAGAGCTTTATTAATAATTCAGGAATGCCTGATTTTCTTAACTCCGCTCCAAGTCTCCAGAATTTACCACAGTAAGCTCCAATCCGATGAATAATGCAGCATCAGCCACTCTGACCTAAACCTTGGTCAGGTTAGTTTTATAAATGACTGTGATTCTTCCTCACAGAAATACCTGCCTAGTAGCCCTAAACCACAAAATAAACCAAAAAGCTCAACCCACACCCATCCCAAAGGACTCCAGCAACTCTCTTAATAATACTTGGTGAGCTCAGTTTGTAAGCACAGGCCTTCTGTTTATGTAGGTTATATGCACATGTGTATTTAGCCTTGTTGAAGTCACCAGTGTTGGCCTTCCCATACTTAAATGTACAGCACAGGTGCAGTTTTCCCTGGATAAAGGGAATGGGGAGGATTGTACAACTTTCTAACCATAGAATTGATCGTGTAAGACAGGTTGCACTGGCACAACCTGCCAAAAAGTAAAAGTTGATTTCAACCAAAACCAGAGTATGACTGTAGTCATATGAGACATATTAGCTTAAGAAATACAGTAGAATCCTATTATGAAAAGCAATTAGAATTTTTTTTTTTCCAAAATACCCTGGCATAAAATCCATATGAAATCTGAAATTCAAATGAGCATTTGGTAATTTGGGGGGGAGAAAATTTTCTCCAATTTATTTTGTACCAATGTGTCTACTTAAATTTAAATTCGAAGTATAAATAATTAGCAGTTATAGGAAAAGTATACTTCCTAGGCAAGGAAATTGCAGGTATTAAAAATATACTTGAGTTCTGATTAGATTTTTAAACTCTTCTTGTTCTGCTGGTTTGCCTTCAGAGAATGATTTGGGTAGCTGGTTTTAGCAGTGGATCAGACAGTGAGCAATCACTCTGTAATCATACCTAACTCTGCTAAAAGTTTTCAAAAGCTAAATCCTCTCTAGTAAAATCATCCTTGCCAAAATACAATTTTAAGATGCAGAAGCATCAATTTGTCGACTTGATATCTCTGAGCAGGGATGGCTTCAAACACTGAAACTTGATTCCTTACAAAGAGATATTACTTACCTTGCTTCTTTTTCATACAGTGTGAAATATTCAGTGTCAATGAAACAAGCAGAGCCAAACTCAGGAAGGCCAAAACTCCCCAGATAGAAAAATGGCAGTCCATTTCTGTAACTGGAAGAAAATCTGCTATTTGTGTTGTCTAACAGTTTTACTGCATTCTTCATGCTTGGCTGATTTTTGCTTTCTGTAATCGAAGCTGCTATTTTGTTTACTCTCTGACAGCTATCGCTATACAAGCTAAATAATTAATATCATAACGAGATGCTAAATACTAAGAAAGCAACTTTAATAAACTGTTAGCAGAAATACTATTTCATTGGAATTCAGCCAAAGATTAAGCTAGTGGTTTGCCTGTAAGATGCAGTAAAAATCAGAAATTCATAAAGAAAAAAAGCCATTTTACTGGATAGTTTTGAAATTATTTTTGCAGTCATCTTTAAGTTAGTAAATTCTTAGCTGAATTCTGGAGATCATGAAAGTAGTTCTGAATTTAGTCAAAACAAATTTGCCGATGTATCTCTGAATGATAAGACTGTAACATTTTAAAAATCCCTGCCAAAAAAAGTCAAAATTTGGTTATGTTTTCTTGCATTGTTTTCCAGCTATTAAAACCACTTGTATTTATTTTCTTGCCTGAGAAACCAGAGGAAATGATGTTCAAGAGTAAGCATTAGCTGGGAACCAGTATTACTGCAAAGAAAACAGCTCCTGGAAAATCACTTGGTAAAAAAAACCAAACCAAAACAAAAAAAATCTTCTTTTGCTCTAAACTTGCCTCTCCTTGCAATAAGAAAGAGAGGAAACAACCCTCTGCACGAAATCTGTTTTTTTCATTTATTAATTCTTTGATTAACCTAGCTCATACAAGTTTTCCATCACAAACCATGCTGAAGAAAATAACCCATTTGTGGCTGTGTAGTGGCCAAAATTATCGGCGTTGCTGTGAATGGCTTGCAAAAGCCTTCCTTGACAGAGGAAACAATGAGCCAAATAAATGAGTGAAAGGAGCTTGCAGCTGGGTTCTGAACTTTCCCCAGGGGTGTGGTTCGTGCTCTCTGAGATTTGGAGTGTTTGAAATAAAGCCTGCCCGATGTCCAGAACCAACGAACTCCTCTAATAGTGCAAAAAAAGAAGAGTGTAGCTGGAGCAGAGCGGTCAAGGGGCTGGATTGGACAATGCTGATCCTTAATGCACTTTGTCGTTTTTTGACATATCTGGATTCCCTGGGCAAGCTGCCGTTTTGTTTGTTTCTGCAGTAAAGCCGGGTTGAAGGAGTACAGGAATGCACTTTTCCATGTTGCTGGCCAGGGAATGGTGGCAATACATTTGCTCCTGCTGAGAAGACACAGTGCTGCTGTTCCTTGACTGACTGGCTCCAGCTCAAAATCTTCCTACAGGTTTTGCTCCCTCATTGTGCTGGTGTTGCCAATGCTTTTTTTGTTTTGTTGTACTCTAACCCTCAGATGCCTTTACAATGACAAAACAAGATAAGATAAGCCCTGGTAGTAAAATCACAAATCACCTAGAATCGCCTAGGCTTCTGGGATGCAGGTTTCTTTCCTGATCAGAACTCTCTTTTAAAAGGAACAAAGCAAAGCAAATAAGCTGTAATTTTCTGACAGGCTTCTTTTTTTTTTTTTTTTTTTTGCACATGGTTCTTTCAGTGACCATTTATTCTTCTTTTTAAACTAAGTATCCTGTTTCCCTTCCTTTCTACCACTTGACGTTTTCCAAAGGTTTTTGAGAGTTCTTTATCACTGCAATACTCCTTTTCATCTTGAAAGGCACTTTTTTTGCAATGAGATACAGACATTCGTGAGGAGAGACAACATCCCCAGGAAGCAGCTCTACATCAATCCTACTTTTCAGGGAAGGAATTAAAAGAATGGGAGATCCTACACTGAGATGATGTTATCAGGGTGTATCAAGAATCACCAGTCTTTGGAACCTGGTTACTGTGCAGTTAGTCACTCCATATTGCATCCCATGCAACCTGTCCAAAACTACAAGTCTGTCCAGGACAAGAAATGTCAAGTTTCACTGTTGTGCCTAAATAATCAGAATCATATCTCATTCTTCTGTCTTTTTATCTTTTCTGATATGATTGGTTTCCATTCTTCTCGCTTTATTTCATATTTCTTTTCCTACAAGCACTTTTTCCAGGGAGCAGAAGCAGTATTATGGTCTATGAGAAGCGAAGAACATGTAACTGTGATAGAATCACAGAATCAACTGTGGAAAATCACAGAATCCATGTTGGAAAAGTCCTCTGAGATCATTGAGTCCAGCCTGTGACTGAACAGCACCTTGCCAACTGCACCATGGCACTCAGTGCCACGTCCAGTCTTTCCTGAAACACCTCAGGGACAGGGACTCCACCAGTTCCCTGGCTGGGCAGCCCATTCCACAAGCCACAACACTGTGATTCACTAGAATAAAAAGAGTGAACAGGTACCTAAAGTAGTTATGACCTAATGTTGTTCCTTTTTCTTCACATAGAATATTGTCATTTATCTCTATGATTCAGGAATTCAATTTTTCCCCAGTGTTTCCAGAGTAGAAGGAAAATTTAGTTTCAATTTGACTATTTTCACCCCTTAACTGGCATACGTTTTGCTGACAAGTATTATTTTCCTGTTTCAGCTTTTGATTTAAATTGAAATTATTATCTGGAAAATAGTAAAGGTTGGATATAATTTTTTTCTTTTTAGCTTTCAAGTTTAAATTCTATAGTATTTGAGCAATCCTATTTCTCAAGAACTTTAAAAACATTCTAGGAAAAAGAAATATATGAAACTTGTATTTCTCATTAAATGTACCAGTGTTTTAAATCTCACAATCTATAGTTCTTTCTTAACCATGAATTAGGAAATCTATGGGTGTGGGTAGATTAAGAAAAGAACATTTAAATTTCTTCCTGGATGAACACTACTTTGTTTATTTTTAAATTTATTTTCCACAACACTGACTTAAACATCTGCTTGTGTTTCAGTAGAATGTATACAAACATATGTGTGACTTCAGTATATTTTTGTTTGTTTGTTTTTGCAATACTAGCTATTGTTTTTCAGTCAACACTACTTACATGGGAGAAACAACAGCAGTTTTTACTTAACCAATAAAACCATAGTAAACACCTTGATCAGAGGTGTAGTGGTGCTGTTCTGAGAGCTCTATGCCATTCTAACATTAGTTTCAAGCTAATCATATCACCCAGGCATAAAATATGAGAAATTCCAATTTTATATCCTAGCTTTACAGATATGCAACTCCCAGATCTTTCCCATGTCTTCTTGTCCTTATAGGTGTTTCTGATATGTTGCTTACATTTATAGATGCATTATTTCAATATTAACTACTCTGACAACAGCAGCATTAAAAGGAAAGCTGACTGTGTGAAGAACACTTTGTCTCCACAGATAACTACACTGCACTCCCTAAATGTACAATAGCAGATGCAACCTCTCACAGTTAACAGGTTGTGCTAAAGACAAAAATATGATAAGGAGACTGTAGATGGTGAGTGAGAAATAAACAGTAAGTCTATTAGACTAATTATATTCCATTTTGAAATTGTCTTTAATTCTATTCTCTAATTTTAATTCTCATTCAAGTAATCTATTCTCAAATGCAGCAAAAGTATATTAATCCTTTTTATGTAACATATAATTAGTGCAAAGAACCCGTGACACTGTATTCATTCAAGCCATCAAATTGAATATTTTTTTTTAATGTTGTATTTTTTGAAAAAAGTCATATGGAATAAATAGGCTGCTTGGGAATAGGACACTTTGATTCTAAAACGATAAATTCCTTCACAGTTTTCTGTGATAGTCTGTCTGTGATAGGAAAACTTAAGGGTGGTAGTAGTTTGTTACAAAAAATAATATTGAAGTATTCTTAAAGTAATATGCTCCTCTGTGAAAGGAAAAAGTTCATTATTATACCCAAAGGTTTCAGGAGAGGGACAACTATTCTTGTTCTATTGTTAGAAGACTTTGGGATGTGTGAGTGGAGAAGCAGTATATTTAATTATGATAAAGATGACAGTATTTTGATTAACTAACATCAGACTCTCTCTAGTATTAATGATATATTCTTATGCTGCTGTTCTTCCATTTCTCTTTGAAAACCAGGTTAAACTTGGAGTAGCATCCAAGTAGAACATCTGTCTTAGGTAAGTTACTTCATTTGGATAATATTTTTACTTTTCTGACTTTAGGGATGGGGTTGCTCACCATCTCTTAGTATATTTTACAGTGTTATGAACTGAAGGTACCAAATTCACACCACAAAATAGAGACAAACAAAAGACCTTCTAAATACGTAGTTAATTGTGCTTTTTCTCTTTACAAGTCTATTGATAACTTTCTTCACCAACAGAGACAAGACATGGGAATAAATAGAGTTTTGCTTATTTGTTCTTAGGTTTTCTCTTTACAGGATTCATTATACTGTCACTGGAGGGTTGTGAGAGAAAATAAATTAAAAAAAACCCCAAAAGAACATCAACACCAATAACAAAAAGCCCAACCAAAAAAACCCAAAAGCCTCCAAAACATTCTAATCTTTCCTGGATTAATTTCTGCTATTCATTTTACTGCAACTCAAAGGAGTGGACATAATCCTGTACTTCTGTGCAGGGAGTGGAGCCAGATTTAACCATTTGTGTTGGATATTTGTCCTCTTAACAACATAAGAATAGGTAGCAGGAGTGCTATGTTTTGTTCCTCCTTGCTCTAATGTATTTTGTGTAGAGAATCCATCAGGAAGGATAACAGGGAGATTAGCATACTTCTACCAGGTTTTTGTACTGGAAAGGAATGTGAGGTGAGGAACAGATATCATCTAGCTGGACATGCCATCTGTGGTATCAACGTGTTATCCACAGAGGGAGGTTAATTGCTACCAGATTTATGGTGAGGATCTGGAGCACAAAATGGTTTTCCTTTCTTTCCTCTTGTTTGTGTCTACAAATTTGTTAAAGATTAGATAAAACTGTCTTTCCTCCCCCCTTCCAATTAAGTGTTGATTATAAATAATATTTTGTACTAATGGCCCTTTGAAGAAGAAACCCGTTAAGAGACTGATGAATGTTAAATTAGCATTAAAAATGCTTTCACCTGCGTGAGATTTTAATACAGGATTAATTATCTGAAAAAGATTCCTTAAACTGTAATTAATTAGCGCATAACTAATTGGTTTGTAAGATATCAACTTCATACTTCAGAAGGGAAACAGCACATTGTAAAATAAGAAGGCCTACAGCACAGTATTTTCAGCATAAAACTAATGCCAGTGCTTAATCTTCATTACCAAACCTTAATTAATGAAGGTTTAGCACCCTGAGCCACCTTCTTGGAAGGCTGCTAATCTACCATAGCGTGGTTCTACTGCTCCTACGTTTAAAAGTTTAAAAGATAAGGCTTACCTGGTTTTGTTGTTTCTAGGAATACTCCCCTCCCCTTTATCCAACAGGAAATCAAGTTATGTTGGCAGATGTTGGATACTCTCTTGTTTTGAACCTGGCAACGTGAACCTGCCTTTAGAGTTGCTGTCAATCTCAAATCCCTCCAGTCTTCTTTTTCACCTCCTTTCTTACAAACAGGAAATGTGGTTCCGCTTTTACCAGCAAACACGCATTCTCCTTCAATGTTTGCCTCCAAGAGAGAATTAAAGTATTTATGTGTACCCTTGTATTTATTATCCACCTGTCTTGCCTCAGAGGAACATTTATAGGACTATTTGTTTCATTTATCTTTTGTAATATTCATATTCACACTCTAAGTCTCCTTGGGTTTAACGTTATGTTGAATTCAACAGAAGTATTTAGTACTTGTTAAACTAAATTACAGAATTGTTTTACCTAGGAGTGTTATGTGATTCTTCATCTCTTGAAGTTTCTAAACCAAGTCTGAAAATCATTGCTGAGAGCCTACAGTTTAGCAACATCAGGATTCAGAGGCATGATGAAGGAATTATAACACTGCCAGCTCTTGAAAGTCAGGTTAGAATAACATATTGTCATTCCTCCATTCTTTAGAGTTCATGAATCTGGAGCCACACTCCAGTACTGTTGTGGAAAGAAAGGATAAATCATCATGTGGCTTACTGTGTGTATTTCTCTTTAGAATTTAATGCAACATGTCTGTGTTTAGGTAGAGAAGCCATTTTATTCTCAGAATTGGAGTAGCTTCTTCCAGAGGAAGCTTGCACACTGAGCACTGTCACAGAAACCTTCTGTGAACTTCTGATGGTTTAGGTATAGTTTGGGTTTTGGGGTTTTTCTTCAGAGCAAACAGTTTGATTTCCTACAACGTATAATGTAGAAGTAGGAGGGGTTTCTTAGGAAAAAAATGTGAATCACATGACCATGTTTGTCTTTTTGGAATACATAAACTGAAATAGCCTTCAGTGTAGTCTAAGGAACAGTGTAAAGCTCTGCTCTTCAAGAAAGACTCTCATGTGAGAAAATGTCCTCTGCAATCTGTGTTTACTTGGCATGCTATTACTTTGGATTATTATTTTTGTATTAACTGCCCTGGATCAAGGCTTAAGAAATAATTTACTGTATTAGTATCTTATTTGAACATGAAGGAACAGATTAGTGTTTATTAGTTTAATATATCCCATCCAAGTCTAAGGGTGATATATTCTTAACTACTCGGAGCTTTATCATAATGAAGTGAATAGAGCAGGAGGAAATAATCTGAAAATTCTCAAAATGGTGGGAATTCTTATAGAAGGATACCAGACTGAGAGAGAAACTGGAGAGGGTGGAAGACATGCATTGTGAAAATGAAGACAGTTGCTTAATTTCTCAGCTAAGAGCTCGAGGAGTAAATCTGAGATCTGCAGAGGATTCAGAATAAAATGCTTATCAGCCTGAACAAGAAGCTTACAAGAAATAAACTCCTTTGGAAATAATTAGGAGCATAATGGAAAGGTGAATACTGAGAATGCAGCAGGGGATTTCTGGGTTTGTAGTCCTGCTGGTGTGTTAATAAATCTGCTCTCCAAGAGCAAATCATTGCTGTACTGTATCAGCTTCAAATGGCTGCAAAAGCAAAGTCTATTGAAATAAATGTGAACTTGGTGTGCTATTTTGGGCAACCTGCAAGAGACAGAAGGCTCTGTTAGATAGCAAGAAAATATTCGCTTCAGGCAGTAAAATCCATTGTGAATATGAGGCTTCTTTTTTTTCCTTTCCTTTGTATCAGTGCTACATTAAAATCTTAGGGAGCCAGTAGTCTGCCTAAAGTGCTGTTATTCAGGATAACAGAGACAAGGACAAATAATAACTATATTTAGAAAGAAAGACAGGACATAAGGTAATGCTACTTCATCCTCACCTATTGCACACAAAGGCATTTCCTCCTCTTTTTTAAGTCCCCAAGCTATAAATTTCTGGGTGCATATTCTGGGAAAGTATCTCTGCCTGCTGAACTACTTATGTGATCTTTGGTAAACGTATGATGCTGGTATCTCAAGAGAAGAGCCTGTCTCAAGTGGACATCTGCCTTGGCTGGGAATAGCTCTTGCTACTAGAGTTCTTGGAGAAGGTAAATGGAGCACAATTAAATATTGATGTCCCCAGATGTATATGAAGGAGTGGGTCTGTGCTGAAATGGAGTCAAACAGTACAGCGAGTTGCATACATAGAGCATGTATGCAAGTTGCCAGCAAGTTGTGCTTTTCTAAGACTGCAGAATGCATGTTTATTCTGGTTTCCTGAAGGTGAAAGAAGTGGCACAACTGACACCAGCATCAGGCCTCAAATGCCTGCTTTCTCTATGACTATCAAATTGCAACCTTTCTTTGAAAAATCATATCATTTTCTATCCTAAGTGTTGTAGTGGAAATCCCCTTGCAAAGAATGTAAGAGACACGGTTTGTAGTAGAAGTCCTGAAAAGAATAGGTATTCCTGCAAGATGTAAATTATACTTCTGTTTGAAATGGAAATCTGTTTCTAATACTGAAATTTCAGAATTTTCTGGGCAAAGTAACTACAGCAGAAATGTTTTTAGTTTTGTTTATTGTGAACTGGAGTCTGCTCTGGTTCTAGTCTCACAAACATATTGGAGAAGTAGAATTGTTCTTTTAAGCTGAGCATGTGACTCTTTACTTCAGTGTCAGGTGCAGACCTGGTCTTCTTGTGCAGTGAACACAAATGAGAACAGTGCTACAGGAGAGAGGTTGGTTTAAAATAGCTGTCAGAAAGAGTGAGGCCTTCCAAGTGAGCTTCAAACGCTGCAGAGAGCTCTTCTATCTCTTACAGTGAATTTTGTACTAATAATAAAATTTTAAAAACTAGTTAAGGTGCTTTATGCATTTTAGACAAGCCTGTCTTTAATCACCGCTTTACTTAAAACCAGTGTTAAGCAGAAAGTTATCTCATTAACTGCCCTTGAAATTGTGGCTCCTATTAAAAGCAGTATCATGGGTTTCCTGTGGAGAAACCACTGGGTGGTTTTATTTCTGAATGCTACAAAACCTTATTATCAAAGCCTATAAACAGAAAAATTCCTGTCTTGATAATTCTACACTGAAACATTTCCCTTGAAATCTAACACTGCATACTTGTGCAGCTTTGGGTGGGGTTTTCTGTGCTGCACGCTTTGAGATAGCAGAGCAGTCCCTGTGTGCTTAGCAGAGAAAACAGCCCAGATGCCACTTAATTCAAAACCTGCAGAAGTAAAGTGTGGCTTTTCCATTGACTTCACTAGATTTTATTTTCAGTTTAGACAGACACGGTATCCTGGGAGAGAAGTAATCTCTAGTGATTTTTCTTTCAATAGCCATGAGAAGAATAAATTTCCTGTTAAAGTGCTATAATCTATATACCAGGTTCTAGGAATCTTTTAGTTCCCTCTTGACACACTTGTACAAGAGTGTGAGAAAACACTTTCCCCTGGGCAGCCAAAGGCCTGGCCCTGCAACTATTCCTCATGTGAGGCATCCTAGTGAATCCAGCAGGCTCCACTCTGTGCTTGGTAGCCAGCTTGCAACTCTATCAACTTTGACCAAAGTGCAAGAAGAATTTGTGAGCAAGATGGCAACCCTAAAATACCGACCTTGTTCTTTTAAAAGTTTCTTGGGACTACCACAAGCGTGTCCAGATGGCTCTGTTGGAGCTAGTGTAGAAAACCCAAACTCGTGTGCATGTGTCCTGAAGCCTCGTGGAGGATCACCCTGAGCAGCCTGGATGTGTCCTGAGCTGATCAGCTGACTCCTCGCTTGTCCTGGTTGCTGCAGTGATGAAGCTGACTCCTGCTCTGCAGCTTAGCTTTCATATGGGCTTTCTCATCGTGTCTAAGAGAATGTCAGAGGCTTGTCCTCTGGGTTCCAATCAGTTAAATTTGTTCTACGTCGACTGAAGAGTCCCCAGCCACAGTTCTGAATAAAAACAGTCCTTACAGTGGGCAAAACAACTCTTGTGCTCTACTGAGTGTCTGGTATTGCAGGTAAGGAATTGTTGTAACTCAGGATGCTGTCTCTGCATTTGATTGAACGCTGTCTCTTCCACCACTGTATTATCACAGCATGGTTCATGTTGGCCTGTCCTTCTGGGCACAAGAAAAGTTCTGAGCTCTTTAAAGTCTGGTGGAGACCTAGTCTAGGCTGTCTTGTTGAGGGTTCTTGTAAGAAGTCAGACTCTGGTGTATATGTGAATGCTTCCACTTCCCTTTGCAGTGATATTGCAGGTGAAAGCACTTGAACTACATGGTTTTCTCCTCTAAAATGGAGTAATGAATTTGAACTGAATCACTTGACTACTGAACCCTTCAGCTTAACAGTGTTGTGGTTGCATCTCTATTTAAAGAAGTTTCTGGTAAGCAGATAAAAGCGCTCATCTTGCCACATTCACGGCTGTTAAAACATTGTTTTCTTACTACTTCCTGTTGAGCAGCACATTTGAGCACAGCAAAGGGTGTGCTGCTTCTTTCGTAGTTTAAACTGTCAGAGACTTGTTAGCATTTACAGAAAATAAGAACACAGGTGTGTGGAAAAGGGCTGTCTTGTCCCACAAAATGTTGAAAGCCTATCAAGTGACTGTCCTACATTTTGACATTTCTCAGAGGCCAAAGTAGGTACTGTTCCAGGAGTTTGAGCATGAGAGTTGAGTTAGAGTGTCTGTGTTAAGGAGGCAGGGCATAGGCAGAACTCCTGTCTCTGTGTGACAGATGAAAAATGCAGTCGTGGACCCCTTTAGGTATCGTGAGTGACCTCATTCTGTTATGCACAAATGCTGCAGCTGCAAAGGGAGGACTTTGGTTTGGAACTAGATGATCTTTAATGTTCCTTCCAAACCATTCCATGATTCCATGACAAATTTTTCAAAGAGAATTTTCCCAAGAGAAATGTCATGGCAAATTTCACTAAACTTCCTGGTTAACAAGACCATATTCTTTCAAAAGTCTGGCATTGCCAAAACACTGATAGGCTCTTAAATAAACTTTGTTGTGGCTACCTTGAACTATCAAAATAATCTCATTACTTCCATTTTTGTTTTGTTTATATTCTAGGCTACTAAAGTTCTTTTTATTCATGTTCTGTCCTTAATAA